ATACCATCACGCAGATGCTGCACTCATGTATCTCTCCAAACCAGAAAGATTGTGCCAGTAAGCTACCTGCAATTGAGTTTGCGATGAATTCTGCTTGATTGGAAACAACGAGATTTACCCCTTTTGTGTTAAACTATGGATGAACTCCAAGGTCTAACTCAGAATTCCCAGGGGTATGAGTTTTTGCTCAGAGGATGAAAAATGCTATATCACATGCCCATGACTCAATCATAGCTGCTTGCATTAAGCAAACTACCATGGCCAATTGAAAGCACAGAGATGTGCCATTTGTCAAGGGTGATTTGGTCTACTTGTCTATGTCCAACCTAACTTTGCCTAAGGGATATGCACGAAAACCGACACCAAAATTCATCAGCCCATACCCAATCAATGACAACTAGACATGTTTTGTGAACTACACAACCTCATCCCAAATGTAGATGCCATGTTTAAAGGTCTTGAGATTAACTCCACCCTTGATGGGTCATGCCCCTCAAGACAATCAGATGACCCACAGGGGGTTGACCCAATATAGACAGAAGGTAGTCACATGTCAAGACCAGGCAAGGCCACCACCTGTGACAAAGCCAACAGCAATGGGGTTGACCATGTCATTTTTGTGTTTGGTACTGAAATAATTTCAGCACAGAATGGAACAGTGACATTGAAATGCTTACTGCCTCAATGACACTCTATACCTGCAATCTTGTCATATGTATGGACCCTCATATCTTACCACCTACCCCAACTCTCAGTTCTCCAAAAGTATGGATCAGAAACTACACTGACAGTGCCAACATGCCCTGGGCCTGGGCTGGCCACCACCCACAGAATTCTTGCTGACTTCTGTAGACCATGTGTGACCTTCCCAGTTCTTTGGTGACCTTCCCAGTTCTTTGTTGACTCCCACTATGCCTACCCCCTGTATATACTTCAATGTTATTGATTTTGTTGACCAGAATTTAGGAGAGACATAAGGAAGTCATTGCTAATACAAAGTACCATGAAATTTAGTGGATCTGATGGACAATTAATTGGCCATGCTACCACTCAGGTGGGTATCATTGTCACCATCACCATCAGCATTGGCATTGCCTCCTTCCTCAGCTAACTTGTCCCTCTCAGGGGACATAACCTTTCTGTCAGCATTGGCCACCTTGTAGACCTTCCCAATCAAGTTTCACAGCAAAGAGGTGGTCTCACCTAGACACTGGTAAGGACTTCAGCCACCACATCAGATGTGGCACCTGCCAAGGTACCCAATGCACAAGCAGATGATGTGCTGGCCAATTGAGTATCATGGTCTTCACTGATGACCTTCACATGCTTCCTTTGCTCACCAGCACAGTGCGACAGCCCAGAGTCCTTCTGCTTCCCCTGGGCAGTCTTGCTATGCAGTGGACAGCCTTTCTTTTGACGGAAACACTTTTCACATTGTTTGCTGCACAAGTCAGGTAGATTGAAGCATTGTTCACTGGTGGTGATGCACTTGGTGCAAGCATTATCATGAAGGATGGGAGGACAGTGGTGCTGAGTTGCCAACTTGTTGGGAATGATGAGCACAAATGCCCTGTTAAATTTTGGCATGCCACCCCTGCCAAGGATGCCCAACGGATAGTTTTTGCTGCCACTGCCTCATCACCCGCAAGCTCAGAGTCCTCCTCAGTCCCAACCATGACCCCCTTCACCTGACTTGCCTTGGCTGCCTCTTTCCACTTCTTCCTCATGTCCTCTTCTTCCTTATGGAGCCAGTCTTGCTCCTCCTGTGAATCATACATGAGCAATGGCTTAAGGGTAGGTCAATCCATGCAAACAACCCTATGAAGTGCTCATCTTCCCTCTCCTGTCAAAGCCAATCCTCCTCCTCCTGAAGGTGATGAGCAACAACCTTCTCACACTGTTGCTGAGCCTGCTCATCAATCTTGGCTATTTCTGCCTCCATGGAATGAGAGGCCAATGGTATAGGATCATCATCAGTGACAGTCATCCGGTTGATAGATTCAGGTCTGAGGTTGGTGTGTGGGATCTTGGATGGTGAGTAGACATGGTCAAAAGAGTCAGTTTCCATCCCATATAAATTCTGTCAACAAAGTTTGAACCTTGATACCATGTGGTCTGTGTTGTCACTGGCACAGTTACTCAACAGTGTCAATACTACATGCATGGCAGCTGACCCCACTCAGTGACTGCCTATTGCTTTGGACTGACTCACCAAGGACTGCATTAATTTTTTCATATGTCCACTAGTGAATAAGGTGCTTTATGAAAACCCCATCAGAACTAGCAATGTGTATTAGGAAATTATTTATCATGTGAATTATGGGTTAGAGCAGGGCATCCAGGATGCCTGTTTGCAGTATGGGTCAATTTTAGGACATTTTCTCATGAACTCAAACCCTGATGCAGAGTCATACTGTAACTGTGCATTGTGGCATTGACAATACTATCAGCCTCCCAGTGGACACACCTGGGTGGTGTAACACTAACAATCCGAAGACTGTTATCGGTCACTCCTTGACTGATATAGAGGATGAGGATGTGGAACGGAGTTAATGCACAGAGCACAAATGAACTCGATTGGAGTATCTACGACAAGAGAGACGGTATTTATACTACTACGAGTGTTTGTACTGAGGAACGTCATAGAACAAACCAAACAAGTGAGAGATAAACGCTATTGGCTGCAGCGCTCCACGCTGAGTCAATGCGGCCACGCTGACGAATCAGCTGACTAACTAAAGCGTCTATGAGCGCATCTAAGTAACCCTAACCAGAGAGTGGATAAATAAGGAAAACTACGCTAAGAGTATGCTACAACTAGTAATGAAAAAGTACGGGCCGTTACAGGTGGCAATATGGCTGCAGACCAGGAACCTGATGAAGCAGGGGAGGAGATCAACATGGAGGGGGTCCTGGATGATGAGGAGCAATGGAGAGATCTACTCATGATCATCCTCTTGCACTATTGCCTCCACCTTTCCTTTTTCTCAGAGGTCATAGAGAATGTGTGTGAGATGATCCTGCTTGTGACTCAGAGGGAGGAGCCTGTCCCCTATCACATGTAGATTCTGTCTGTGTTCCTTGGTGATCTTCACCTCTTATCTTCGCATTCTCTCTTCTACATGGTCTCTTACTTACTACCATTTGATTCCCCTCTTAATTTGCTACTTACTACCTCTTTTCCCAGCCTTCTAGGCCTATTCCTAGTGTTGTGGCACATTAGCCACTCTTTGTTTACCCTTGTTTACCTTGAAGCACACTTAGTGTAGCTGAGTCCAGTGCTGGACCTTTGGTTGCTCACACTGGACTCTAGTCTGGCATTTTTGCAAGCTCCCTAGAGCTATGTATTAGAGTCAATTAGGCAACCTTTGGACACCTCTAGCCTTCCACTGCAAGCATTCCTCAGTTTTTTTTGCTGAAAACATCTTAAAAAAAGAGAAGAAACTGATACTGTTTAATTTGGGATGTTTTTGCCAAAGTTTTTTGAGAAAAATACAGGATTTCTATTGTCAATTATGCCTCAAAAATGGTATAGATTCATCTTAAATCTTTTCAGTCAAAATCATCATGAATTTTTTTCAGGGTGATTTTGAGTACAATAAGTGTTAAAAATTGTAGATAGATCTTCAATATATTTCACATGGTTTGCAGCTTAGTAATCTACTTTTTTCTTAGCAAAAAGTTTAAAAAATAACCAATATATATGTTGCCAAAATACTGAATTATAAATGATAAATTGCATGCTGCCCATCACATGAAAAATATTCTGTCTTTTTTATGGCTGAACATGCAATATGCAGCAGAATGTTTTTGGCCCAAAAATCAAACAAAAAATAATGTATTTTCACATCAAAATCATCAATAAGAAATCCAAAGTTATTCTGGATGAAGCAGTTTTCAACTTGAATTTATGGAGCACAGATGATTAAGGTAATATTCAGGTTTCTGGGAAGAGGGTCAATGCATAGGGCTTCCCATGAATCATGATTACCATGTGCCATGGGTCCACAAACCAGTGTAGTGGGGATGCTGGAGGGGGAATAGGGGTGCCAGGGGTTCAAGGTGCATGGGGTTTGTACATACCTTTAGGCAACCTCCACACCATCAGGAGGCAGTTCTCCATCTGGTTTGACTCCTTCTGACTGTGGCCTTTCCACCAGCCAAGAAAAGAACAAGATGTATCATCTGCAATGCCCTGTGGGGGTCCCATGAAGCCCCACAATGTCAGTATATTCTGACATGTACCAAATGGGGTCTAAACTAGCATGGTATGGTCAAATTCTCAAGCCCCCCTTGGATGTGGGGACAAGGAATTATTCATGCTGGAGAGCTCCAGGGAGCAGAGGGCTCCACCAGACAGCTAAGTGTTTTTGTTTTTCATTTTTTTTTCCGCTGTATTTGTACACTCTCTCCAAATCCTGATCCCTTTTCCAGTTGAGAACAACCTTGTTTAGACCCCAAGTTACTGTATAATGTATGTACATTGGATTACAATGATCTTAGTATACCCTAGGTTGCCTCCAATTTGTTCTCTGCAGAAATCTCCCTGATGGACCTATTTTCAGTGAAAACCAACTACAATAATACTAGAGTACTGGAAATTGGATTTCGTCTTACTCATGGAAATCACAGAAAACAGCTTTTGGAAAACAGAAGCATGAAAATTGATTTTTGGAACCTGTGCAATGAAATCCAAAGCCTAAAATGATCTTGAAATCAGCAAGTTAGTCATGTGCTTCACAAACTTTCCCACAGATCCTCCATATTTTTGACAGACTATCTGACTCAGAAGTGCCACCTGCAGCAGCTGCAAACCTTGCTTGAAACTTGATGTAGGACTCAGCAGGTGATGAAGCAGATACACCTTTCTCACGCTGTACCAAAGAGTTTTCCATGAGCCCCATAATGTGAAACCTGTCACAGATTTGTTTCTGTCAGGGTTTTTGTTGAAACACAGTGTGGAAACACACATCAACTTGTGCAAACACCCAAGTAAATAGTGACCTTGCAGGGAATCGAACCCAGGACCACCTGGAACTGCACCAGGAGCTCTACCTGGGCCATGGCACTGCACTATATGGCCCAAAAGACTGCCACAGTGAAGCAAGGCATGTCTTGTATATCACACTGGGCTGGTTATGTCTCCAATGAAATTTAGCATCACTTCAACTCCTTGTTGGAAACCCATACTTACAAACTGAATGTGGGGAACCCTGTGCATTGGGAGCTCACTTAGTGCTAGATACCAGAGTGTGTTGTTGGGACCACAGAACTGGATGTGGCAAGAGCTTGATCATTTGCACAGGTGGGCTCTTTAACATAATAGTATTCTGAATATTTCATCCAGAATAACTATTGATTTTTCTATCAATGATTTTCATGTGAAAATACATTATTTTGATTTAGATTTTTTTTCCAAAAATATTTTCCTGTATACTGCATATTTGACTGTAAAAAAGACAGGATCTTTTTCATGCAAGGAGTAACATGCAACTCATCATTTATAATCCAGTCTTACCTCAAGCACTCTTGATGCTTGCCCTTGTGATGTTGATGCAGGCTTTGATTTGCTTCTAGGCCACCCCTGGGCACATGGGAAGCTGTCAGCATCATTGAGAGAGGCTCCAGTGCCCTTGTAATCTTTGGATCAGACAAGGACTATCCCCTTGAACTCTGTGTCACTGAAGGCCTTGCTGAACTGACTGCTACTGCCCTCATGGCAACTCTCCAGCCTACTAGCTTTAAAGAAGACTCTGGGACCCTTGCAGATGATGAAGCATCTTCTGATTCCTCTGTTACTGGATTGCCTATTACCTTTGCACCTCCTTCCCCACCTTCTGAGACTCCTACTTTGACTCTCCTGTATCCAGACTTGACTCCAGATGGTATAGATGGTGCCTTTGGACTTCCAGAGTTCCATCCTATCCCTATTGTCACTGTGGACCCACTGTCTAGCCCACCACCTTTGGATCTTCTTCATACACTCACTGAGGAGTTGCAGGCCACTGAGATGAATGGATTGGAAGATGATCCCTTTGTTGCCATGATTCATCATCAGATTAGGAGGGAAGAGCATCAGTCCCTCACTGTGCTTCTTGCTGGGCTCACTTGTCAGTACCCCAACTTCTTCCATGTCTACTTTGACTCAGACTATGCCCTTGCTGGTGAAAGAGGCATTGATCAGCATGACCAATACTATTGGGACTTCCTCTTACTGCATATCTACCTTGTGCAGCACATCCCTGGTACCTCATGGTGCAATCATAGCCAGTTCAGAGGCTCTGCCTATGTTCACTTCTACCCCAATCCTCACCCTGATCCTGCAGATCAAAGTCCACCTCCCAATGACCCCATCCTATCCCCTGATCCTCCTGAAGCTCTGGATCCTCCTTCCCCTCATTTTCAGTTGAATATTCTGCCTGATGAAGCCCCAAATCCTCCACCTTCACCTATTACTGAACCTACTTATCTCAAAGTGCCCCCTGTCAACTCATCTCAGTCTTCACTCCTGTTTCAGGTCAATGATCCCCCTCCTGAGCCTGATCTGTTGAATTCCTGCCCCACAATGGCAGTCAGAGGCATTTGAGAAATACCTAAAAATTGAGTACCATGTCATGCACCATGAGCCATGGCTCATCAGGGAGTTCCTGTTTTGGCCTTAATGATGAAGTCACAGGCTTGCAAACACCAACACTAGACAGGAGAGAGAGAAAACAAGGGGGGGAGTCTTAGAAGTGAGTTAAGGTCAAAACCCAAGTGAACTAGCTTGGGGCTAGCTGGTTATTGGGGCAGGTATATATACTATGGTACATGAGGCCACAGCAAGGCATAGACAAGGAGTGCATGAGGGGCGACATCATAGTGTCATCACCATGACATCATAGTCCAGGACAGCCTAGCCTTAAGCCACATGGTGACCACATGGTCAGGGTCCAGGCCAGTCCATAGATAAGGGAACCAATAAGATGCAATAGGATCCAGGATAAGATAAAGAAAGATTAGATAAGATGAAAAAAAAAGAAAAAAAAAGAAAAGAAAGTATGTACCATAACAGTTTGCTGCTACAATGATACAAATCTAGATTGCTCAAAGGTAACTGAATTTGGTGAGTGCTGATCACCCTTGGTTGGATAGCCATACAATGTACTTATGAATACCAGACTGGAAGGCTTATGATGATAAGCTGGGGAACATGTGGTCTGGTTCCCAGATGCAGTATACCATTTCTGAAAGACAAGAAAAGGCCAGGCAGGGGATCAAACTCCTTCATGATTGCATGAAGAAATACTATGATCTGATTGTTGAGGAGGATACAGACTGTAAGTCTGTCTCTTTTCTTCCCCTGTTATATTCTAATTGTCTTCATATGTATCAGTCAGGTATACTTTCAAGGAGCACTTGGAAAGTTCTGATGAAGACCAGGATGGTTCATTGGATGCTGTCTGAGACTATGTCATTCAGTCTGCACAATTATTCCACTGCATTGGTTGTATCTACTCCATTTTTGTACCCCTGCCACTTTTTTGTACTTGCCACATTTTTTGAAATAAATAGGAGGGAGTGCAAAAACTTCCTGAAACTCCAACATCACCTCCAAGGAAGACATGGTGTCACACATGGTATGAGCCATGTACAATAATTAGAAGGGGAATCAAATGGTAGTGAGTAAGAGACCATGTAGAACAGAGAGAAAGCAAGGATAAGAGGTGAAGATCACCACCATGAACAATTGGATGTGTCTAACCATGTTTGATTGTGTTTGTCCACTAAAGCTCATTTGGTATTGTGCATGGGGTGAGGTTGGAATTTCAGGAAGTTTTCACACTTCCTCTTATCTATTTCACAAAACACAATGGGTACAACAAACATGGCAGGGGAGTACAAAGACATGGAAGATACAACCAATGGAATGCCATATCTCAGACTGTGTCCAATGCACCATCCTCATCTTCATCAGAACTTTGTAAATGTTCCAGAATTAAAGGTATACCTGACTGATACATATGAAGACAATTAGAATATAACATGGAAAAGAAAGAGACAGAGTATCCTCCTGGATGATCAGATCATAGTATGCCTTCATGCATTCATGAAGGGATCTGACAAATGCCTTGTCCTTTTTGGACCTTTCAGACATGGTAAACTGCATCCAGGATCCAGACCACACATTCCCCAGCTTCTCATCACATGCCTTCCAGTCTGGTATTCATAAGTATAATGGCTATCTGATCAAGGGTGATCAGCACTCACCTAATTCCATTACCTTTGAGTGATCCCGATTTGTATTGTTGTTGCAGCAGAACTGCCTCATGAGCCATGGCTCATGACACATGACATGGTACTTGATTTTTAGGTAGTGATTTAATACCTCTGACCACCATTCACATGGCTGTCATGCAATGGCCTTGTGAGATTCCACACATATGGACTCAAATATACCACACATCCTCTGGCCTTGCTCCCTTTTACTATCTTCCTTTATGCATCATCAAATCAAGAGTGGTAGCTTCTGGTGTGGTTTCTGGGAAGTATGCATGAGACATGGTGACAGAGATATGATGCAGGGAGAGGATGGGTGTTATTGGAAGAAGATCAAAAGTTATCATTGAGGTAGCTTACATAAGTAATATCAATTTAAGTAATAACTGTGATTGGAAAGCAATGGTGTGCATAGCACCATGTTCAATTATGTTTGAATAAACTCAATCAACCAAGTGACACATGTACATACCATATAGTGGTGTTCAAACACAATAAAACAGTGTTTCCCAATTGGTTCCAACACATTTTTGAATTGATAAACCAACCAAGTGCATAAAACAGGGATGCTTTACACAAGGTGTGAACACATGCCTGTTAGCAACAGTGAAGGCTAGAGGCATCCAAAGGTTGCCTAGTTGATGCTAGTAGCTCTAGGGAGCTTGGGAAATTACCAGACTAGAGTCCAGTGTGAGCAACCAAAGGTCTCAGCACTGGACTCAGCTACACTAAGTGCACTTCAAGGTAAACAAGGGTAAACAAAGAGTGGCTAATGCACCACAACACTAGGAAAAGGCCTAGAAGGCTGGAAAAGCAGTCATTTTCAAATGCAATCCTCACACCTGCCACTGAACCCCCCAATCAGACATCCATGATTGACACTTGGAACATAGCTCTGTTGACCACCATATACATAAGCATAGCATTAACAACTACCAGTGGTATCTTAAAACTTGCACTGTTCCTCCACCTTCTAGTAGGTTCAACTCACACTCACTGATTCCTGGACTTAATAAGTGGGCCAGTTGAATCACCAGTGAACTGCTGTGCAGAGAATTTTCTATCTTATGCCACCACTTAGTCTAATCTGCAGGTATGCAAATATTTTGAAATGTATCCCTCTCATCCTGACAACAGATCCAGTATGGTGGCTTTGATGGTAGCCCTTTCACTCCCTGTCCACCAGTCAAATCACATGGTGATAGTATTTTTGTCTGTGATTGCAATTCTTGTTGTCCTCCCCTGTTAGCATTGCACATCAGTAACATGGCAAAGTTCTATTCCAGTATTTTTGGGACTTTTTCGACTTTTGGGACTCTTCCATCTGTAGCACCCAGTAATACAGAATTTCCATAAGACACCTAAATAATTACAATATGTCTCATGAAGCCCAAAAAGTCAAAAAAGCGGTTATAATTTGGAGTCTCTAGTAGCTATGCTATGTTACATGGTAGTCCAGATCTAGGCTACACTTTAGTGTGATGTATCAAACAGTGAGTTTCCAAACTTACCGTCAAGTGCACATCATGTGTGATCTCATTTAAGAGCTCAAGAACTGGAGGGGGGAGAGGGGGAGACCACACTTCACCCTTGAACTTTGCTGGTATATAATATTGTGCTCCTGGAATTCACAAACCACTGCTAGATGAAGAGATGGGGATTAATTTAACACTTGCTCTGAGATAGTACATACCAGATAGCTTGGAGCCTGGCCTGTTGCTGGATTAGAATGCAATTTTGAAGGTGTGATGATCAGCATATGTAATGGATCGAGGATTCTGCCCCTTTCTTTTGTCTTATCTAATCACT